AATAAATTTGAGAGCTCTCCCAGCCGAGAGCAAGTGAAAACACTGAGGCAGAAGAGTCTAACCCTGAGTTAAAATGAAAAGGCCCTGAGGAGGAGACCAAGGAGGGAACCCAGAGGAACAAAAGGGACTTGTGTCTCTGGGCTGCAGTGTGATCATTTAACTTTGCTTTTCCCTGCTGTAATGATATAAACTGTTCACAGTGCAGTTTGGTAGCATTTTACAGCTATTGTCCAAGTGTAGCAATGGCAGAAGGTGGAGGACTGGAGAATCCTGAGAGGAGAGGGAAATAAAAGAAAATATGGGGCTTAGTGGAGCTTGCAAGAAAGAGAAGGCTACTTCTTTAAAAGACTCATGCTGAGTATTCATTTCCTTAACAACCGTGGATTTATGGCCCTTTTCTCTCACTAACTTTGGGCTAAGGTGTGATATTAGGGGCATGTTTAGCTGAACCATTTTCTCTGGCCCATAGCCTAAGAGCTGTGGCCCCTACCTTATAAACTGCAAGAAGGAGACCACGCATCACAAACTTAAAGTTATGTTTAACTTGGGTTTGTCCAGCATAGAAGCACGCCTGTTCAGTATAACATGCTGCACTAGTGTCTCTTTCAATGTTTAAAGTCATCCCTGCCTCCTCTTTTCTTCCCTGGAAGGGGGGTGGGATTGCACTGTGTGTTCAGCACCTGCCCTCCCCCCCAGACACGTAGTCCATAAAAGTTAATAGTCTTGCCGTACTTGCTCCCATATCCCATCACCACCATTCAGTGCTGATGGGCCTATTTCAGCTTCTCAGGCAAAATGGAGTTTCTAAGCCACACCGAAGGTTATAGTCATAAATGGCTATTTCACAAAATGAAAAAGGGTTTATATATTGGTGCACGCGTATTCCTCAAGGTGTCACAGCAACCCATACAGCAGTGCCACTGGATTAGTGAACAAACGTGCAATGTACAGGAATAAAAATCCTGTATTCAGGGGTGATAATTCTATATATGTTAAAGATCTGAAATTCATGCCCCATCATCCTTTTGCCTGTAGTGTCTTTTCTTTGTCTTGTTCCATGTTTTGGATCTGAAGGACAAGCTGGTGCTCATCTGTGCTCTCTGAATTCTTGTGTGAGATCAAATCCTGGTCTAGTGAAATCGGTGAGAATTTTCTCACTGAATTCAGCCAAACTAGGATTTATTGTGCTATTTAGAAAAGGCAGCAGTTTGTTTCAAGCTTCTTGCTTTGCTGTTTGAGACTGGAAACACAGGACACCTATAACACCTCTGCCTGGTGGTAATAATATAATTTGTTAACACCTTCAGGCAGATAATAACAATAAGGACACCCACAAGTAGCCTTTATCAGTAAGATAAAGAACCACCAGCTCTTAAGTCCCTTATATGAAGCCTCTCAGTTACTGTGCCTCAATCTTTATCTGTCTGATAAGAAACACTGCTGTTAGTTACTCTTATTGCTTATTAATTTAATCTTTGCTGTGAAGTGTAAAGGTCTTCTGTGCACAATGTTTCATTATCCACAATTCTAACCTGCAGATACCCAGAATTAATTTCCCATCTAAAAAAATGTCCCGGTCTTGCAGTGACCTCTGGCACAGGGCTGGCCACTGCTTTCTGGAAACGCCTGCTTTGCATCCATGTGAACCATGGGTCATTGGAATATGTGCAATAAGGTGCTCCTTTCTCCCGGGCCTGAGCAGTGCTGAGAGTAAGGGCTGAATTTGGACAAGGTTTTGGTATCTCTCTTTCGCTCTGTATGACAACTATATAATAAGCTATTACTAAACCATAGGAGGTGTTTTGCATGTGTGTGTCTTGTCACAACAGAGTTCTCCATCATTTACATTCTGTCTGCCACTTTGCAAGGGAAAAATTATCAGAGGCAACAGTGTTCTTCTTCTAGGTTAAATACAGGTGATAAAATCATAGGAGTTAGAAATGGTAGAAATTAGATTTACTCCACTGTTGTTTCGCTAGGCACAGGATGTTGCGCTTAAACATAGCTTTAACATTAAATGTGTAATTAGCCTCATTGACTTCTTAGCCATGTCCAGATGAGCATGGATGTGCCGTATGTGGCACCACAGACCTGTCTGCGGTGCTACACACCACACATGAAGGCATTCCCCATGCTGCTACTTTGCTACTTTTCTAAAATTCACTGAAGTCGATGAATGGGTTCCTTTCCATGGATTCCAGTGGTTCATGGTGTAAGTTGCATACTGTTTCCATTTTTGCTGGACCGTTCCAGTTTTGGTCACAACCCTTATTGTAAAAGTGCTCATCTCCTAAGGGTTGAATTTGATCTGCAGGGCGTAGCACACGTGCTCCTACTTCATTGAAATGGGAAGTGGCTGTAATATGTCCCTTGGGTCCAACTCTTCAGCATGAATGAGCACCACTTCATAAACATAGAGTGGTGTTATTGCCTCGTAAAATATGCTAATGAGCATGAGGGCAGAGGTCTATTTTAAGTATCTCTGAAACCAGCTTCCTAGATTATAAATAGGCTTCAGGGCTGAACTAATGTAGGCGTAACAACTCTAAGAAAGACTTGAATTGTAAATAAAGAAGCATAAACAGTTTTCCTTGATCATTATTTTCCCAACTCCTAAATCACAGCTGAAGCAGCATGTGCTTATTAATGATTTATTTATATTGCTGGTGTCAGTGAAGTTGCTCACATGGCTTCTTTCAAAACTTGCCAGCCATCAATAATGAGGTGTGTCAGGATCCTCCTGGACTGTGAATGCATAGTGATCTTTACAGCTTCCTCTCTTGCTGTATGGGGTACAGTGGCAGAGTGGTTAAGGGGTCTTGCTACCGCTGCAGAGGTGTGAGTTTGAGCCCAGTGTAGGACTTGTGCCAAAGGCATCCCTCTTCACTCAGCAGTAAATGTTTTGGTGAGTGAGTCTAAGGACTTAAAAGTTTCTTGGTGTTATTCTAGCCACATCACTTCCTTGCGTGCCTTTGGCAACAGAATTTGGAGTGCCTTAACCACGCTAACCCATTGGGCCGTCGACCCTTGGGTGAACTTTTCATTTGTATCGTGTTTGGTTTTTTTCTGTCCACTTATGTTATACTCTTGCTTTGATTGGTGTGTGTTCGGGTGAAATGTAAAGAGGGTGGCTTCTAAATGACTGGTACTTAACTTTGTTATTTTATGTTTGTATCAAGCAACTCAGCTGGGGAGTTGATGGGAGAGGAGGGGTGTTGTACCCGTAAAAGGATTTTTCTCTTTCCCCTGGAAGGGTCTCTAAAATTAGGTACCTGTCTCTGTCAGATTTGTTTATTCTACCAGCAACCATGAGCCTCAATCCCAAAAGGCCTGCATAAGGTTGTGTACATGTCGGTCCCATTGAAGCCAGTGGGACTGTGGATGGTGAGAATATTTGCAAAGTCAAAATACATTTTTGAAAGATGTAAAATATTCAAGGAAAGAGACAGTGGTTCTCATTGAAACATAAAGGGAAGCCTTGGGCTTGCATAAGCCTGCCATAGCATCTCCTACATGCCTGCCCATTCTAACCTTATGGTGTAGGGAAGGGAGCATAGTCTGACCAAGGGTGGAAACAGGAGAGATGTATCCAGCTGATTTCTCATTACCTGAATGGCCCCTTTGGGTCTTACACCAAGAATTGTGTTTTCCCCCTGGTTTCAGGACTTTCAAGGACCTTAAAATCCACCATTTCCTTCCCCCACAGCCAGAGGAGAGGATGTGACCATAAAATGTTGCAGTGTGTGTCATGGTGCATGACGATCACTGCAGGCCTATCTCTTCAACATCAAGGTTACCAAGGTTAAGCAAATTGCTTCTGTTTATTTTAAAATCCAATATGGAAAAGTTTGCTTTTGTCAGGCTTAACCTTATCCCTCTGTTACCTTTCAGCTGTCTGACTTAACATTAGCCAGCATCTGTTTACTTAATAATTTAATGATCCTGTCTTACTGCTCAGAATTTGGAGTGCCTCTAGTTCAGAGTGCGACATTTTTCTCGCTCGTATTTCTACAAGCAGCCTCTAGAGAACAAGAGCACAGGATGCCCTGAAGGTGTGGAGAAGTGTGGAGCAGCAAATTTGAAAGTTTTTCGCAGATGAGAGTAGGATAATTTTTAATATAAAATTCCCTAAAGATCCCAGCTCCCATTGATTTAAATGTATGCCAGGCTGGGATATGAACAGAGTCTGGCGTATGCATTGAGATCCTCCTCTGAGAAAGAAATCATGTAAGACCAGCAGAAATAAAGTGTAAATTCACAGCAGAGGGGAGTAACAGATGACCATACCTGGAAGTAACTAACTGCCAGGAGAAAAGAGAAATGTGTTTCTGAATTTTAAAAAAGGATGTATCTGTATTTGGTTTCCACCTCCAGTCCAAGCAACGTGACAGTTGAAGTAAGAGGACAGAAAAGGTAATAGGAAGTAACTCAGAAATAAAACCTCACCCCTAAAGTGTTGCAATCTCCTTGGAAAAGAGAATGGAAAGGGGAAGAAAAGATCAAAAACTAAATGTATCCATCTGACTTAGATTTGAGTTTCCATCCACATGGTTCCACCAGCCTGAAGCTTGACGCAGGAGTTTCTTTTCCCTAAAAGAAAAACATAAAAATATTCACTTCTGTGTAAGAAAGATCTTAAGTATGAGAGAGTTTTTCAATTATTATTTTATTCCTGTTGCACAAGCTCTCGGTGTATTCGTAGCACATTCATCTCTGTAGTCAAACTGAAAGTCTTAGTGCAGTGATTCCCAAAGGGTGTGCTGCAGCACACGTGTGCCAGGAGTGCAACAGAAGTGTGCAACCAGATCCTGTTAGATCCAGCCCCTGTGTGAGGAGGTAAATGCTCTCCTCCCCTGTGTGTTACCCTCACCATGCACCTGCCCCAGCTACTCCACTGGCCCCTGCCATGGCTCCTGTGGGGACTGCTGCTGCTGTTCCCTTCCCCTGCCCTTCCCCATCCTCAGGCTGTGCCGCCCCATGCCCCACCCCTCCACTCCAGGATCCCAGCCACACACTCTGCTGTGAGCAAGCTGGCAGGCAGATGCACAGAGGGAGCTGCACCTTGCTGCCCAACTCATCCTCTCCACTCTTCCTACCCTACCAGGGCCAGCAGGACAGACCACAGGGGTGGTCACCAGCGTGTGAGACCCTGCAGAAGCAGCTTCAGCAGCAGGGGCTGCCTTTGCCCCCTGAGGTACAGGCCAGGGGCTGGGAGGAGGCAGATAGCAGAGAGAGCAAGGCACAGCAGGGCAAGGGTCCTGTCCCTGCCACCCTTAAGTGGCACTAGCTAGATCACTGGTTTTCAAGGTCCCCCTCCTTCCTTTTGCTGCATTTAGATCCATCTCAGTGATTTTCAGCTGGGGTGCCATGAAATTTAGAAGTACGCTGCTAATTTTAATCCAGAAAAGTGTGTCCTACATATAACACACACACACGTCTAAAAATACTTTTCTAAAGCATTTGTGAAAGATGCCCCAAACCAGATGTTCAAGGAATAAAAATAGCATTGAATGATAAAACTGTTTTTGTCTGTGTTAGGTTTGGGCTTCTTGGTGGAGACTTAAAAGCTGTTCTTCTTCTGTTCCTGATCATTGATGCAAACCATGGAGTGTGCTCAAGAACATGAAGAATACCCTGTGCAAACCCAGATGTATTCTGTGGAGAGACCAATTTATAACCAAGAGTTGTTGCAAGAGCAGCTGCACCAGAAGGAAAAGCCATCTCAGCCTCTGTCACAGAGGATAGCACATTCATGTCGGTAAGTGGTTGTGTGTTTATCTTTATTTTATATCTGCTGGAGGCTTGTGTCCCACCCTTTCAGCAAGAACATGATATGAGGAATATCTGGCATGGTCTCATTTTTCTAAGCTGTCTTTATTTCCACTCACTCAATTTGTTAGAGTAGGGTTCTGGAGCATTTTGTAGCAGGGGGCATTTTAACAGAGCTTAGGTCAAGCACAGGTCCAACCCAGCCCGTACTGCTGCCGCACTATAGCCATGCAGCTGCAGTCACCACTTCCACCCCACCACAGTGACATCACTGCCTCTTTTCCACACCATGTGGGTGGGCAAGGCTCCCTCCACCAAAACAACACCAAAAAGCCCCTGGCTTTGCAGGACAGATAAAATGATGCCATGGTCTGGATGCAGTCTGCAGGCCATGAGTTGCCAGCCACTATGTTAAAGCTACAAAGTATTGCACCCTTACAGTGAAAATTTATCTTCTAGATTAATGTGCATATGTAACAGCCTAGAGATCTGACCTGTTATCCTAGTTATCCATATTATTTTAGCCACTACAAAAACTGTCAGCATTTTTCAAAAGAAAAATTTAGCTAAATGTATTTCTTTCATCTGACTGGATGTATGAGTGTTTGAACTCTCCCCTCCACCACACTGGAGTCAGCAGTATTGATCCCTTGAGTTACATAACGGACATTTACCTTTGGCAACACTGACCCTTTGGCAACACTGACCCTTTCCCTCCTTTTAACCCCCCATGTCCAGATGACTGGACCAGGGCCAAGCTGCTCCCTAGTGTCCCCCCTGCCCCCCCCACATGTTCACACCAGGGCCACTCTGCCCCTCCAACATGAAGGTCTGGACTGGGGTTTCTTCACCCTGCACTCCTCCACCCCCAAGTTTGGATCAGAACTGGGCCACTCCTTGTTGCCTCCAGCCAGCAAACAGGTTGGGGTCAGGCTGTGGACTCCTCCAAGGCCAGATTGGGCTCTACCATGCTGGCCCTGTGTGCCAGGAGCCCACCAGCCAGATCTGGACTTAGCACTACCCACCTGGCCTGCAAAGTGAAAAGGCTGGGCACCACTGGGCTAGACTGGTTCTGGTATCTGAGGTAGCTGGTTTACTGGTAGCTCAGGTATCTGTCTCTACACAGCTTCACAGTGGTCACTTTAGACAGATCCTAAGGCTGGTCTGTATAGACAGAAAAGCAGAGATGTGCAGCTGGAAAGCTAATGTAGGCATCAAGAAGAGAAAATGAAGAGGTACTTCATTAGCTCTTTAGTTATTAGCTATTGTTTCCAGAGCTGAGCCCATTTTTTGCAATAACCTACTTTAATTTATGATACCACAAATAATGTGGTCCCTAGTTGGTCCATCCCTGAAATATTAAAATTGTTATGGCCTGATCTTACTGGGCAGGTCTATAAAGGAAATACCAGTTATCTCACCTTGAAGCAAATTTCCCAAGTGTGTGGATTAAAGTCTTCCCGACACTTTGTCTATTAGTTCAGTCTCTTTCATGCTTCTCCAGAATATTACATGCCTCTCCATTCCATGTTACACAAAGAGAAGTGGAGCATTTCACCAACATGGATTGTCCTTTAATGACGTTTGTTTCTAGGAGAATTTAGAAGCACTATGACCACCTTCTCCAGTTTTCTGCCAGTTCCAATTCTAGAGTGAGGAATCCATATGCCTTCAATTCCTGGCTTTTTACCAAAGATTACATTTTCTTCTGACACTCTCAAATAAGAGGATCCCACACAGGAGTGCTAGACAGACTCCACTGGCTCAAATCACTAAACATAGGTCAGGGTTGCCAAAGGTAAATGTCCCTGTTATGTAACCCAGGGGATCAATATTGCTGACTCCAGTGATGGAGGGATGAGCTTAGTACTCCTGGAATTAGTCCTACAGTAATAACAATCACAGTCATATCTACCTCACATATAGTGCATGTCATAATGTAGTGTACCTCATCCAGTGTACCAAATGCCCTCGTGGAAACTATGTGAGTGAAACCAGACAAAAACTATGCTCCAGAGTGAATGATCCCAGAAAAAAGATAAGAGACAGACACTGGACCACAGGTAGGAGAACATTTTTCATAGAAAAACCACTCCCTGTCTGACCTCACAATTCTGCTCAAGAGAAATTTAGAAAACACCTTCAAGAGACAAGCCTTGGAACACAAATTCATTACCCTATTGGACACTAAGAACCAGGGACTTAACATAGACAGTTTCCTCAAGATCTGTTATAATCTGCCTAATATTTTTTAATATCTACACAGGTGATAACGACTCTTTTGAATGATCTTGTTCTTCTACTGATCAGGTTTCTACTGCATCCCTCTTGTCTGTTGGCTCTGTGATGATAATTTCTCTTTTATCCTGTTTTTATCTCCATATGGAGTTTTACCCAAGCTTTCCTTCCTCTTGCTGTTTAGCTGTGCTGTGTCTGCTTCATTTGCAGAGACCTGAGGAAGGCTTGTCTAAATTTATCTTGGCCATGTAGTTAGTTAAAGGAAAGATATTGCCAGCAAAAATACTTGCCTCTTGTATAATTTGTAAAGTCTTTGGGTCTGTATAAGAGCTAGGCGGTGGTGTTGTAGAACCCATCCTAGGAGAAAGGGTTGTACAACTGCTTTGTTCTGTCATGTGCTGACCAGCTTCACACCCTCTTGAAGTCCTGTGGTGGCTTCCCAATTCCATAAAGATGTTCAAGTAGAAAGTATAATATAGTGCACTCATGGGTATGATAACACGTCACTTGGTTTCTTAGCTAAGTTCAGTCCAGGCATTGTTGTGGTGACCTGTTTTCTTGTTTGATATTTTTAGTTGTACCTCCAAAAAAGCCAAGTCTCATCTGTACAGCTTCTTACCAATTTTACTATGGCTTCCCCGGTATCCGGTGAAGGCGTATCTATTAGGAGACATTATCTCAGGTATAAGCACTGGGGTTATGCAGCTTCCTCAAGGTGAGTAGAACACAGTCCATTTTGATTGTCTTGTTTGTTTGTCACATGTGTCATCTTAAGGCAGTGGCTCCCAACCTTTTTGTGCTGCAACCCTAAAACCATGTCGCAGCCCCTGTCCCCGACTCACTTGTGCCTGGTGGCACCAGCAGAGCTTGGGCTGAGCCAGGATCATGCAGGGCAGTGGCGGTGACAGCCCCACAGATGGGAGGGGCAGAGTGAGGGGCAGCCCCCTGAGACCCTGATTTGGGTTGCGACCTGAGGTTGGGAGCCACTATCTTAGGGGAATGACCTCCTGCCCAACTGTGAGTTCATGCAACATGATAATGGACTACACTGTGCACATGTGTACGTGGAGGCCATTAATGAATGATTTACAACAGCATTCTGAAAACCAATCAGTTTATTGGTTTTGAAAGAGCTGTCCTTGAAAGTGCTGCTTTCCATCATGATAGCCAACGGTGTACAGCAAATTCTCTTTAAAAATCCTCCTTTCTAGTTACTAACCTTAGGAATTGGAGAGCCCTGAAGGCTATTTGTTACCCTGTTCAAGTTAACAAAGCTATTTGCCTGCATAAAGTTAGAAACATGTAAATTCCTTTCTGAAAGAAGTAATTAATTATTACTTCCTCCCCATCTCTTCACTCCAAGAGTTGTAGCAAGTCCAGTCTTCTCCACTCTAGTCTCAGAAGGAACTGGCACCTGGAGTCTATAGGGAGTGCTGTTGCAAAGGAGTCAAGCCTGTCTTACTTGGAGCAGCTTCAGCAAAGTCAGGCATCAGAGACTGGTCCATACCTTATTTGTTATAATAGTAACTACTCCTCTTGTACACTACAGAGCTGTAGTTGTTGATTTACACCCATGAGTAGAGATCTGTTTAAAGTCTGCAAAAATGACCAGCACCGTGATTGGCCTGTGCAATCACCCATTTGCCGCCTCGATTTGTTAGGTCCCTATTCATAGATAGGGATCTACCTAAATTGTGCCAGAAGTGCACTGCACAGCTCCTTTTCACTGTGGGCCTCCCTTGCCACTGATTGCAGAGGGGCCCCAGCAGCCCCCTGCTCACCACTTGCTCCTGATCAGCCAGGAGGCAAAAACTACAGTTTTAAATGTGCTGTGGTTTTTGCCTTCTGCCCTATCAGCAGCTGGGGCCCCTTGGCCAATCAGTAGTGGGAGGCAAAAACCATGCCATATTTAAAACTGTGGTTTTTGCCTCCCAGTCAATCAGTAGCAAGCAGCAGGGCCACTGGGGTTCCTCCATCAATTTGCGGGGGGAGGCACATGGCAAAAAGAGGAAGATTAAAAGAGTCTCTGCGCAGTGCACTTCTGGTGTAATTTAGGTAGATCCCTACCCATGAATAGAGACCTACCAAATTGAGGCATCAGAGGGGCAATTTCACGGGCTGACTGCAGACTTTTTCCTGACCATTTTCACAGACTTATTGCAGCAGAGATGCCCTGCCGCCCCCCCACAAAGTGCTGATTGGCGAAGGGGCCCTGGCAATCCTGTCTCTTGCTGCTTATTGATGGAGAGGGACAGGGCCATTCAGTGGTGGAGGGAGCAGCCGCTGTCTTAGCTGCTGCCCTTCATGTTGGCGGCTTCCCCACGTATCTCACTTTGTGCAGGCTGTTGGTCCAGTAAAAGATATCACCTCCAAAAAATCCTGGCTTCTTACTCAAAATAAAGTAAGGTCTCTGAGACAGGGGCCATACCCTGGCCACACTGTGTTTTGGGGGAGGAAGGGGTCCAAATTCACTGTCAAGCTAATACTGGTGCAGCTCCACTGATGGAATAGGCCATGCAGTCTGTCTTTAGGTGATTGCCAGTATCTTTCTGACATGTCTTCCAGACCTGCTCAGAGGTTCAAGTTGCTGGAGTAATAATACTATCCAGGCCAGTATGTCCATCATTGCAAGAACCAGGGCAACTCCTCTAAATAAGGCTGCTATAATGGTAGATTTCCCCAGACTGGTTGCTCAGACTTTCTTAGCTGTCCTTAACTGCAGCAGTAGTAGAAATACAGAGATAGGGGAGTTCCTCCAAGTTATAAGCAATGCTGGGTTTTATTGACCAGAGTCAGCACGTGCCTACATTTGTTATATTTAGGCTAACTGTTGTGCTGATTTGCACTACGGTGCAGTTCCACTAATTCCAACGGGGTTGCATGAATGTATATTAATAGTGTCTTGTATGTACATTGAATTGGGTGAACAAAGGAAAGCATATGTGAGGAGTGACAGGTAAACAGGAAAATTTTGATCTTCTGTGAAACCTGTCAGGTGGGTGATGAATGAAGGCATCACAAAGCATGTATTAAAAACTTAAATTTTCTCCCATGGAAGAAACAATAAATGTACAATGTATCTTTGTAGAATGTTCTATGCACATGACAATTTTGACATTTTATGTGTGTGTTAACTTTATTTTAACAGTCAATGTGCAGTTGGAGGTTGAAGTAGTTTTTGTCTGAAGTGGACCTGTTCTGTTGTTCCCTAACTTATGTACCTCTCTCTCTCTCTCATTGTGTTTTTTAGGTCTAGCCTATGCTTTACTGGCAGCTGTTCCCCCAGTATTTGGCCTATATTCTTCATTTTATCCTGTTTTTCTGTATACTTTTTTTGGGACCTCCCGACATATATCAATAGGTATATCTCTTCTTCTGCAATTGAAGTTCTTGGTAATTTGATTTAGAATAAGTCGAGAATTTGGTGTTTTTTGTCTTCAATCAAATTGAAATTCTTAAGTTGTTAGTTTTTTCATGTTCTCCAATGCTAGCAAAATGTTTTCACTGTTAATTTATTCAATCTGCTTAGGGAAGAATAGAAAAAGCATGTTTTAAAGGATTGGTTTTAGCAGCAAGCACTTGGAACAACTCCTGAGCCATGTGTTCAGCTGTCTTGACAACTAGTTGTGTGGCTTAGGACCAATTCACAGAGGCAGAGAGTGACTGGAGGAAAGAATGATAACTTTATTTGCCTGCCACAGGAGGGGTTATTCAATATACAGACTATTGTCCTTTGCTGTTTGAAACTCTAAAATAGTTCATGCGGTTAACTCCACACACTGTACAAATCTGAGGTAATCTTCTGGATAAGAAACCCTAATAAAATCAAGGAGGAGTTTTGTTTCAGAATGGGAGCCTATTTTTCTCTCTCTCTCTCATTCCAGGCACATTCGCAGTAATCAGTATGATGGTTGGTGCAGTTGCAGTAAGAGAAGTTCCTGATGAAAAATTTGATATTCTGGAGTCTAATTCCACCAACAGCACCGAAACTAGAGATGACATGAGGGTGCAGGTGGCTGTGACTCTTGCCTTGCTTTCAGGGATCATACAGGTAAGGTGTTCTTTGCCAGAGGAGACAAATTTAGAAGAAGCTGCCAGACTTCTAGTTATATAGGGGAGCCAGCATTGCAGCAGGTTTCCCCAGTAATAAAATATTAATGTTTGTACTTTGCTTTGCACAGTGAGAGTTACAAGTTGTTTCTAGTAAACTTCAACCCCTGAATGTTGGGGCAATACCCTGGAAACGGTCATTTCTCCTGGCATCTTGCCTGTGGCTGAGGCACTCTGCTGTTGGCTTGGAAGATAGTTGCCAAGGGATCTTTGAGCTTTGCAAAGAGGAATTGGGTTTAAGGCAGTGCCCAAATTTCCCTGAACTGGTTCTGGTTTGGTCTGTGAGGGATAGGCAGGAATCTCATCTCTTGTGTCCTGCATCATGCCAGCTTTCAAGTTACAATGGAATGAATGCACTGATGAGTCATGTAACCTGATTTTTTTGTTCTTTGCTAGCTGTGTTTAGGCCTCCTTCGGTTTGGATTTGTAGCCATCTACCTAACAGAGCCCTTAGTACGAGGGTTCACAACTGCTGCAGCGGTTCATGTCTTTACCTCCCAGTTAAAGTATCTGCTTGGAGTTAAGACTAAACGATACAGTGGAGCCCTTTCAGTTTTATATGTAAGTAATTCTCTCAAAAACATGTTCTGAGTCTAATCATCAGTCTTTCCCCAGGACGGCCTGTTTTGGTGCTAATCTAAAACCTTAGATTTTAAGCACCAATTGAAGGACATTTTACAGTGGGAAGGTCCTGAAATGAAGGTAAATATGAAATATCTAATGGTGCAGTATCCTGAAACTGTACTTCACCATCCCAAACTGCAGTTGTATCAGCTTCCATAGTCCAGCTGAACCAGTAACTGGAAGGGACACCTGCAGGGAAATCCCAGGATATTGCATGAAGCCTGTTCTATTGGTTTGGTAAATGATTCTCTCTGCCAAGCATCCACTGTCCACAGGTAATTGTGGTTCTAAGGGCCACCATGCCATTGGAGATGCTGTTCTTTGAAATTTAAAACCTAAGGGCATAACAGTAAATACATCACTAGTGATCTCATAGCATACATTATGAACGTAGAGTCTTTGCCCCATACCCCGGCCAGGTCTCAGCTCTGATCATTACATATGAAATTAATTTAAGCAATAAGTAGTTTCCTTTATAGATTGTCATGTTGCTGGATACTGTTAAATACTTACACTCTTTAAATAGTTACACTCTGTTACCACAGAGATAACTGTGTATTTCTGTGATGGAAATTGAAAGTTTTGGGATCATTTGTTAGGTACTATATAAGTGTAAGGTGTTGCTACTTGTTATTAGCATTGATGTTTCGTAACATTAGCTGACTCAATGCTGCATGTACCCTAATTGTCTTCTCCAAGAATCCATATATACTGTATTTTCTCACATACAACACAAACCTTTTCCCCCAAAATGAGACCCCCAAGATTGGGGTGTATGTATTAAGAGAAGAAGCTGTTTTTTGCCCAGGATAGAAGCACCATGCTTTGATTCTGGCTCCACAATGCAGCAGCTGTGGCACTACTATTCAGGCAGCTGAGGGAATCATTTGACTTAATGGCTCATTGTTCGTCACTGCAGAGGTGTTAACAATTGTCTTTCCTTTTTAATGGTCTTGATGTTCCACTAATCAAGTTAACGTTTCTTAGGGCAGTTTTGCTGCTTCTGGTCTCTCTCCTCCTATTTCACAACTCTGGAGACTTTCTAGCTCTTTTCAGAATTATATATCCACCTGTGGAGCCCAGTCTTCATCAGAAGCTAGGGTTTGAGCTTTAGTTAAGCAGGAAAAGGACAGTGAGTCTGTTGAAGGTTAGGTTCTGTCCCTGCTCTATGCAGCCATAACTCTGGAAAAATACTTTTTTTAAAAAACAGGTTGTGTATTATATTCTGGGGCAAAATACCTAAAAAAATATTCTAGGGGTGGGTGGGCAAAATACATCCTGCAGGCCTGATCTCGCTCACCCAGGGATTTTATCCAGCCTGTGGTGAGTCCCTCAGCCCCTCCTGGCCCAGCCACATACAGTCAGTCCTGCTTTCCCTCAGTGCACAGTGGGTCTGGACTTGCTTCCCAGCATCTCCCTCAGTGGTGACTGCTTCCAGGTGCCAGCCTCTTCCACTGCTGCCAGACCCGGCCCTGCTGCCCAAGCACCCCAGCCCATCCATGCTGCAGCCATCACCAGGGGCACTGGATGGAGTGGGTAATTAGGGTCTCCATGAAAAATGGCACAGGACCCACACAAGCATGGCATGGGGCTGGGCAGACAGGATGGGGCTGCAGGGAGGGACATCCAGGAGTGGGATGGGTGGGCAGGCAGGGGGGGCCGGGGCCAGGGCCAGGGCTGGAATCAGGATCACAGGGTGGGACAGCACTGGGGCAGAGCCACGATCTGCTGCCTGCACATCCCTATGACAGGTGCCAGTTCCTTAGGCAGGGGTGTGCAGGGAGCATGTTGAAAGCCAGGTGCCCACAATCAACTGACTGTCAGCTGGGACCAGGGACTGAACCGAGGTCTGAAACCAGCTCTGATGTAATAATGCGTGTCAGTGGCCTAACTTCAAAAAAATGGGAAAAGAAGGAATGCTTTCTTCAAAGCACAGGATCTTTTTTATAATTTAAGGAAGCCTTGGAGGTTGCTTTTTCTTGTAGGCATGTTTTTTATCTAATTTGATTCACATTTCAAGGCAATACTTCCTTTAAAAGTATTTTTAACTTTAAAAAATTAGATTTTTTTTTTTTTGGATAATTCATCAGCAACTTTGCAAGATCTCTTTTACCCAGCCAAAAGGAATCTATTGCTATGGTAACCTTTTTGGTTGTGTCAGCAGCTGTATAAGTTTAACACTGATTATGTAGCTTTAAACTGATATGACTTGCCAGAGAGTGTTAGAGAATATTGAAAGGGGCAAGCTAATTACTGTATTTCATCAGCTGTCAGCATCAAATATATAGGAAAAGTTCAAGGCTATGTTATATGGTTAGTGGGGACTTATTTTATCCATGACTTAATTTTTATCCATGATTAAGTTTTGCTTAATATTATTGTCCATTCTATACAAAGTCTTATATTTCAACTTTTGGTCCTAAAAGGTACATAATAAATATATATGTGTCTCCATATGTGGATTAGTACTGGCTCCATTCTCACACTCCTGTTTGATATTTCTTGCTAAAAGTAAAAATAATCAAAGTGAAGGAAATCCTCTTTATTTCCTTTAAAATGTGAGGATCTTGTTTCATTACTGTGTAGTAATTCAGATAAATCACAGTGCATGTCATGATACCCCAATGACCAATTTCTGAGAAGGGCTATAAAGCAGCTATATGCCAATAATTTATTTTCATTGCATTGTCTTGCAGAGTATATATGCTGTGTTTTCAAACATCACAGACACCAACATTGCAGCCTTAGTCGTTGGATTAACATGCATTGTTTTGCTACTAATTGGCAAGGAAATCAATGTGCGTTTTAAGAACAAGTTACCAGTTCCTATTCCTATGGAGATCATTGTGGTAAGGTGGTTCTGATTAATTTTGTTGGCTCTTCAGAGTGGAGTCTCCATTTTCAGCCCATTTGTATAAATATGTAGGTCTGCATATAAATATTCCATATATCTCCTGATGAGTTTCATGTATGTTGTTTAGGTAATAATTGGTACTGGCGTTTCAGCTGGAATGAATCTTTCTGACACCTATGGAGTGCATATTGTTGGAAATATCCCTAAAGGGTAAGGTCAATGAACTATCCTGAATTATCCTTATTCAAATTATATTTTTTGCAAATTGCAGGTGCATTGTATTACAATAACTTTGTCATTACATCTTCTAGATTACGGGCCCCGGCAATACCTGATATGGGAATCATCCAACAAGTATTTATAGATGCAGTAGCAATAGCAATCGTTGGATTTTCCATGGCTGTATCAATGGCCAAAATCTTTGCACTTAAACATGGTTACACTGTTGATGGAAATCAGGTAACTTTAACACAAAAATATCCATAGATGCACTTTATAAACCAAGAGCTTGGCCTAAAGTCCACTAAGATAATGTGAGTCTCTTAAGCCCTTCATTTATAGCCTGATTGCTCAGAGGACCATGAAAGCAAAAAGGGGCCAGAAAGTCCCAGTCCCCATGCATGAAAACATCCCCTAGGTCTGTGGAAGCCAGGATGTCTGAGGATCCCTCATGAGTTTTGACACTGAGTGCATGACATGGGTTGACCAGGCTGTGCATAAGGTTACACTGGACCCTGCTGGCTCAGGGTAGAATCCAAGCCCTGTTGTGGCAATAGATGGGGGTCACACCACTTCAGAGTTTCTAGGCAAAGCTGAGGCCCCTGACATGATTGTAACTTAAATGGGCCCCAGAGTTGTCTGAGTCACCCTGGAGCTTCTCCAGCTTCAAATAGCCCAGGTTCAGAAGGGCACAAAGATAAATTAAAACCACTTTAGTCTCACTTCCTCCTGGCCTGTAAGCTCTGTGCTGATTCTCTTAATTTGATGATGCCCTCTTCCTTCAGCTGTTTAGGATAAGGGCCGCTCTTGGCGCAGGACTCCTCTCTCTGGAACCTACTGACATTTCCTCAGAATCCTTAGGTTAAACCCCAGGCTCATTGACTTAAAGTAGAACTGTAGCCACAACAGGGCTTGGATTCCACCCTGAGCTAGCAGGCTCCAAACACAGTAGAAGATTTCTGTTTTGCCACACTTTTTATTCCTAGTATCATAGAGCTGAAAGCCAGAATGAACCATTAGTTCATCCAGTCTGATTTGTATGCATCACCAGGCATTGCATTTCACCTGTGTACTCTTATGTTAAATTCAAAAACTTGAATTTGGATAGAGTGCACCTTCCAGAAACCCATTCAGTTTTGTTTTTAAAGATGCTGGGTGGTGGAGAATCTAATGGTTCAGTTGGTAGTTTTGCTCTGGAGACTAATTATTCTTGCTTTTAATAATTTGTTCCTAATTTATATTCCAAATCTGGCTAGTTCCAGCTTCCAAACACTGGCCCTTCTTATGCCTTTCTCTGCTACATTGAAGTGTCCTTTAATAGCCAGTATTTTCCTCCATTGTAAAAGATACTTATTCACAGTCATTTAAGTCACTGCTTTAGCTATCTTTTTGTTATGCTAAATAGATGGGGCTCTTTAGATATTTGTTTCAAGACATTTTCTCCCTCACATGATGCAGTTTATGGCTCTGCACCACTGCCAGTTTTCCAAGGTCCTTTTTCAAAAAGGGGAACCAGAAATGAGCGCAACATTTTAGTTTTGGCTCAGTAGTATGTTATACAGCCAAAATCACTACTCTGCTCCTGATCTATCCCCCTGTTTTTGCTACTAACGATCATATTAGCCCTTTTGGACCTAGAATGTGACTTGTGGACAGACTTGCCCACCATGACCCCTTAATTTTTGCAGCATCATTACATTCTGCAAGATGCAGTATGTCATTCTATATTCCTAGATGTATAACATTGGGTCTCCATACATTTGTCTGTATGCATGAACTGGCCCAAATGCTATGTCCTCTTTATCTCTGACTACTTTCTGTCTTTGTGTCATGTGCACTCTTTATCAGTGTTGATTTTATAGTGACGTCCAGATAATCAACGAAAGCATTAGATAGCATCAAGCCTAGTACCAGTCCCCAGGCAACCCAACTAAAAATGTTCTCATTAATGATGATTCTCCATGGACAACTTATTTAGCTCTGTTAGCATTCTGTGTTCTATTTAGCTTGTGCTTTATTGATACTGTATACTGCTAATTTTTAACAAAATGTCAAGAGGCTTGATGTACTAAGTCAAACATCTTACAAAAATACTAATTATATTAAATCAATACAGATACTTTTATCAACACAACTTGACATCTCATCAGAGAATAAAATCAGGCTTCTGTGACATGTTCTGTTTTCCCTAAAACCATGTTAATTGATGTTAATTATATTCCTAACCTTTAATTATTTATTAGTGAAATTGTTTATCAGCTTTTCCATTACTTTGCCCACAGTTGATATCCTTAATATATTCATCCTTGTCCTGCCAACCATGGATTTTTCCCTGACATGTTTAGCTTCATTAATCAGTGTTCTGTAGTTCATAGCTTCTAATAAACAGTTACAGATATTGTTTTATTCTTTACAAGAGTGTTATAAACTAAAAAGGTTTTCCATATCATCTCCGTGCTAGTCATAAAGTAAACCCAGAGTTAGAGGAATCCTGGAAACAGACAATTATGTAACTGTACATGTTTACCACTTTATAATTCAAGTCATGACTCATCATTGCGCCATGTAAAAAATGAAAAACAACCCTTTACATCTCCAGATATTGTTTAATGGGTGATTCAATGTGAATCAACATGTGTCTTTGTGTGTGATCCATCAGAGCAAGGTTAATAGCCTTAGTTAGGGATGTTATAATCAGCAGATGTTGTTAGAGCAATAGCCAGAAGCAGCCTTCACCATCTTTTGTGGAACTGTTTTATATGGATTTTATTTTTTTGGTTTGCTTTCTCATATGAATAGGAACTCATTGCCTTGGGAATATGTAATTCTGTAGGATCCTTTTTCCAGACCTTCCCAATCACTTGCTCGATGTCTCGGAGCCTTGTTCAAGAAAGCACCGGTGGAAAAACACAAGTGAGTAGATCCAAATGACTAAGCCAAACAAGCCTTGCAATCTCAGGGTCCAGAACTGGAGCCTTTTGCTTTATAAGATTTCCAGGACTTCCTGCTTGGGTTGAGTCGGAGAGAGTGAACAGCATTTCTCCACAGTATTCTGTTTTGGCCAGGGTTGTGGTGGAAGCACAGAGAATATTTGAAAATTAAAAAACTGATGGAGCAGAAAGGAGGGGTAGGAATTCACCTGAATGACCGTTATTTTGAAAAGTCCACTGGGAGGGGGGTGTTAAATCCAGGTGGTGCTTGTGACTGCACCATTTTCAGTCTTCAGAAATGTTATTCTTTCTATCCTTTGTTCAGGTTGCAGGTACGCTGTCCTCCATCATGGTGCTTTTAGTCATTGTGGCTATTGGTTACCTCTTTGAACCACTACCACAGGTATGGGAACTCTTCTTACAGATGTTATGCATTTTGGAGCAGGAATCTGTTAGCCACTGCTTAACCACTGTATAATCTGTATCTGAATGAGTGAACCAGTAGAGGTTTTAGTGTTGCAAGGAGTGAACACCGATTAAGGTCCCTGGGATTTAAGGAGGTGTTCAGCATCTTGCAGCTTTTGGGCCCTCATGTTCCATTTCATTTTATTGATTTAAGTTATGCTGTAATATAAAGCCAGGAGCAAAGGAGCTGGAACACTCATTTTGTTTTCCATGGAAGCCAGTGTAGATGACACATTTTCTCCTGAGAAATGAAAATATTAGCTCACTCAATACTTCTGCTATATATGGGACATCAGAGTTCAGGAATGAGAGTTCAAGGAAGAAACAGGCTGTTGAAATGGATCAAGTGTAGGTGATTATACAACCCACTGATTTATATTTTTTACTTAATAACTAATAGGTATGTTTAAATAGTTGCTCATGGGAATGGACATAAGGTAGTGTGGGATTTCTACAATTTTTTTTGAAGTAATATCTGGGAGTATGCATATTCTGCAGTGACAGAAGTCACTTCCAGGCTACATTATACAAATACCCTCAGAGAATTACCCGAAAAGATGTTTACGAACGGAAACAAGCATTTAACAGGCTTTCAGGGGAATTCCCTTCAACAGTGTGAGTTGTACAAATGCAGGCTTTTAGAATGCCTTAAAGCTGTTTTTCAATGACAGTTTCCAAGGGTAAAATTGAACTGTCACACAATATGTTCCTAGACGGTGCTGGCTGCGATTGTGATGGTGAATCTGAAAGGAATGTTTAAACAGTTTGCCGACATACCACATTTCTGGAGAACCAGTAAGATCGAACTGGTAAGTGAATAATATGTGACAGGGTGCATGTTTTAGTGTTTTCTATTCCTGCTTTTTCCAAAAGCAAGGGTTCACTTCTCCTAGACCAGACAGAAGAGTAGAGACTTTACAAGCAGATGTAGTACAGATGAAGTTACAGCTTCAGGTATATTGGGAAAATGGCCTATTGCTGATCAAACTTGTCAATGGCAGACTGCCTCTCAACAAGCATTGAAAAAGTTCAGCTGTAGGTAGAAACAGGTCTTCACAGTACTACAGAAAACACACTAGAGAGGTAATGTATCCTCCACTGTGCAGGCTTGGAGACCCAAAACTGGGTAGTAGCCATCCTTGGCTGTACATAACAACTGTGGGGCTGAGAATTCTTGGGCGCAAAGCACCTGCGTCAGGTCAGCCAGTGGCGAGCTGTGATGCAAGCCCGTCTGACAGATGCCACATGAATGTGACAAACCATTCAGCACTGACTTTGCTGGCTTAGACTTGCTCCAAGGGAGACCCTGAATATGAGAGAGACACCATATGAAGTCACAGACCTCCCTCCTTTCGTGGTGAACTGTAAGCTTGTCCTCACTTCCTGTTTCCTGTCCCCAGTCCCCTGGCCTTTCCCTGTCACTCAGATGGCATAAGAACATAAGTGCTGTCATGTACTGGGTCAGAACATAGATCGATCTTGCCCAGTGGCAAGTGGCAGAGAATGGATGCTGAAAGGCAGAGTGAACTGAGTATGACCAAGGTTTTTCCACTGTTCCTTTCCCACTTGCAGCCTCCAGCATTTAGGGTCTAGAAAGTTCTGATTCAGAAGCTGTAGCCCCAGCTCCCATGCACAATAGCTAATGATACACCTTTCCTCCAAGAATTTTTTCTAATCCATTTTGAATCTGGCATTATTATTCATCTCCTCTGGGGATGGAGAACAGGAACAGATGACACTGTACTTCAGTCCTTTGTCCATCCTTGCCCTCTGAGTGCATTTGGATGATATTGGACACGTAATCATTATCTGTGTAAACAATGTAAGATCATCCTGAGTACTCAATACAACATTAATATTTGCTGGATCTACATGCAGACCCATCACATCAGTCATTTGTACATGACCAGGTGCATAACAGGGTGAATTTCTGTCCTGTAATGAATGTGTTTTAGAAGAAAATGAGTCAATATTTTTATTGACAAGTCACTTTCCAAATTATGATACAAACATGCACAGCAAAGCGTGTGCCCCTTTCAGGGGATAGGGTAGTATTCAGTCAGCAGAAAGGTTAAAATATGACTTTTATCTTGAACTGTAGTATCCTACATAGGAACATGAGTCATGTTAACAAAGCACTTAATATATTTTAATACAAGCCTTTTGTTTGCCATTTAGGCCATCTGGGTTATAGCTTTTCTGGCCTCTGTTTTCCTGGGACTAGATTACGGCTTGCTTACCGCTGTGGCATTTGCAATGATAACCATTATCTACCGAACACAAAGGTCAGACTAATTCTCTCTCTCTCAAAATTACTGCTTGGACTCTTTGTTTCTGTTTTTTAAATGGGTAGAAATAACCAGAACTTGTTCCAGGCTCATCAGCATGGTAGACTCTTGATGGGGTCATACAGGGAGTCCTTTGGTTCTGATCAAGGGACCAATTCTGTTTTTTCAAGAACAGAATTTCCATGGAAGACCCCAGATAGTGTCAAATCAGTGGTGAAATTAAATCCCAAAACTAAAGAGCAGATTTTGTATTTAAGGTATTTTAATCATCTCTACATCTGTTTTTGATGATTTCTATATTAAAGCCATCGAGCTCAGCATTTCAATCCTGTTTAATGCTTAGCTTAACTGGCATTGGTCAGGTGCATTCCCCTAAAATGGGCTGTACGCAAATACTGTCCTGATTAAGCAGAAGTTATGTCATGTGCTGCCACTGGCTGAGTGTTTGATGGAAGTTGAGCTGGTGGGAATTTATGTCAAAAATTGCTGATTCATCAAGATGGAGATTGTTTATAGGCATGTATCAGTCTCAGCAAAGCTTTGGTTAGGAAGGCTTTTCATTAAAAGATACAGAGGAGAGAAAGAGATGCTACAGCAGTAGCTGAATGTTTAAGGCTGTCACTTGGATCAAGATCTAAAGGTCTCAGTTTAATTCCAGTTTGGAATGAAACCATACTTTGAAACCTCAGACTGTTTTGTGAAATGGAAACATCATTGTTTTCTGGCTAATTGTGACCAGGGATGCCCTGACAGACCGTGATTCAAGCTACAAGAATGAATGGATAGATACACTGGTTCTTCTAGTTACAGTAAGAGATATTGCAGGTGCCTGGCTGGTGGGTCTTCCTCACATGCTTAGTGTTAAACTGATCATTAGATTCAGGATCAAGAAGTAATTTTCCCCCAGGTCAGATTGGTAGTGATCATTGTGGGCTTTGCCCTTCTGATTGTAGCCTAGGGCATGGTCCACTTCCTAGGATTCTCTGAGCATAATTTACCTAACAACTGTCCTGCCATTATAGGGACCAAAACACTGGTGGCACATTGATCTCCTGCTCTATTACATGGTTGCCTCTTACTGCATAGAACTGGACTCAGTGACTAAGGTGGTCCCTTCTAGACACCTGTTCCGATGTTGCCTGATAAAGGACTGTAAGGTCATTACTGGCAAAGAATGAGTGTGATCAATTCCTTGGGGTCTGTGAGTGTTCCTCTTCCAGCCCTTCCAGTTGAGAGTCAGATGGTCCTCTGCAACTGGCCCACTTTCTCTGCTGGTGTGACCTAACATAACTCCATGGCAGTCAGTGATGCTGCACCAATTTAAACCAGAAGAGAACTTACCTCTGTAACTTGTTGAAAGAAACTTGTGCTGGTGAATTGCACCATTTAGCCTGCTCATTTCAGCTAGAGATTGTCTGATAGTGTTACTGCTTCACAGTGACCTTCTTATTCAAACAGACTGTTTTAGTAATTGTTTAGTCACCAGGTGAACTCTCTACTATATTCTTACTGTATACTGCACCAAAATCTCAGAACACGTTTCTCTGGTGCCTGTGTACAGTAACCACATTTGGTACAGATCAAAACCTGTTTTTTAATGCTTGCTTTTCTGTTCCGTTCTGTGATTGTAAGATGTGACCTTTTGCTTCCATTTCCCTCCAGTCCACAATACAGAATCCTTGGTCAGATTCCCAACACAGACATTTACTGTGACGTCGACACATATGAAGAGGTAGGAATGTGTTTTCCTGCATTAAGGGATTATAATAAATTATTGTGTTGGAGTAGTCAGGTCACTGGATGTTTTTCACTTTATAATGTTGTGTTCTTTCTTGCATTCTTCTAGGTAAGTTTACACTGGCAGGGGGGAAAACACACTTAGCTTTAATAATAGAAACTATTTTGTTTTTTTCGTAATACCTGTGCATGTGACCGTGTGAGTGATGTGGTATGTAATGGAGAGTACTTCATGAAAAGCTCACTGACTTAGAGGTAGATGTCTTCATAGAGTATGTCCTCATACTTCATTCATGTTAATAGAATTTATATACAAACTGTTACTAATACCACAACAAAGTAAGAACTTATGCAAAACCAGCTCCATGATCTCTTTTTAGCTGTGTTAATGAAAATCTACAGACCTAAGAATGTAAGTGGAACACACTGGTTAAAGCAGCCTATCTGTTCTATGAACTTTGCCTCTTTTTCTGTTTATGAATTATCTATGACTAGATTTATTTTTAATAATCTGTTTATTATTTGATCAAAGGCCCCTATCCCCCACATCACACAGTAACCATCTCCTACAAACCATCATAAAAAAAGAATAATGCTGGAACCTAAAAATTATGGACGTACCACCAAGATTTAAGTTTTGAATGTGCTGGCAAAGTAAAAGATTTACATAGACATGTTCATATCTACACAGAGATGTGTTCAGCATTCCCTTCCACCAAATATTAAACATGTGTATGGGCTTCTTATGATATGGCAGACCTGGGCTGTGGGCCAGGGCATTTCATTTTAAAGTATCAGAGTCTAGATGCCTGTTGACACACTTGTGACTCTTTATAGAGAGGGCTGTTAAGAAAACCAAAGCAGTATCAAACATCTGTGCAGATGTATAGAAACAAAGGTACTTAAAATATTACAAATCTGAGTTCATTGAGGTTTTCCATTGGGGTAGCTGAGGGCATCCCAAAGCCGGTCCAGAAATTAATGAAAACCTAAAGAGTTAATAAAATCAGTAGTAAGGTGAGGAAGAGAACACTTCTAGAGCCATGAGATTTCTAATATAGGGTGCTCAAACAACCTTCAAGTACTCTACAAATACTTACTTCAGTTTTATTATAGCACCTTTCATTGTTATTAATAAAAGTGCAAATGTTACTGATCTCGTGCAATATTTTAATCATCACTGTGAGCAGGTGGAATTTCTGGTTACTCACATTTCCTTTGCTGACGCAAGCGGTGACAGGGCTGTTTCTCTTCATATGCAACATGCTTACCTCCATTTGCTCTATTTGTGGGGTTCTCTCCATTAGCTGTTAGTGGCACCGCTGTTCCTTTGGTCTCTGTGATGATTATTGACATCTGCAGTATGAAATACTCATACTTTGTGGTTTGAGGCATAGCCTGCAGTTTGGGCAGCAGAGCAATGATTGTTCTTGGGACCATGTAGGTGACAAATATAAATTAATTTAATTTTACATATGGTAATCTTTCCTTCCTTAGGTGAAAGAATGTCCAGGAATAAAAATATTCCAGGCCAATGCCTCACTCTACTTTGCCAATAGTGAATTATATCTCAATGCACTGAAGAAAAAGGTGAGCACAACAATCCCTTAAGATCCTTTGAAAATTGGAACTTGTCTCTGACATACTTTAAGGTTAAGCTTTCTGCACACCACGTTTCAGCCCCATTTACAGAACTTCATCCCTTCCAGCAGGAGCTGCCATTTCCCTGGGGAGGTGGGAATTCTTCCAAAATGTGAAAGATGCTGAAGTGTATGCAGTGCCCTTCACAAGCATCCCTGCTGTTCTGTAGCAACAAACTACCTACATAGAAAGGTTTATGTCACCCACTAAGAGAATTCAGCCATGTTTGGGGTGTGGAGGGAATAGCATCAGGCCCATAACTATATGAAGGGCAAATAATAAACTCTTCCGCATTGTTCTGTAGCTTCCATGTTGAGGTGAGTGGTGTTTATTTTCGCAAAAGCAAGTGGCATTGTCAAATATGTCCAAAAGCACTGCTCTCCCTCCCAGCCCCACCACAAATCCTTGCACTCAGTGTCCTGTTGAAACATGGCATGGCACCGCCTAATTTAGAGAGAGAAATGTAGCCTATCTCCTCCTCCTGTTGTCATGAAACTTCTAAAGGTTTTTGCTGCTTACTTTTCTCCTTTGAGAAAAGCTTAACCTGCAAAATGAACATTTATGCTGCTGTTTGATAAAGTGATGGATTTAATACTCTAGTAATACAGTACCATCCTGACAGCTGGAACTCCATTTGATTATGCTTTTCCTTTATGTGGTAGACTGGAGTTGACCCTTGTGCCATACTGGCTGCAAAGAAGAAAGCCCAGAAAAGGCATGCCAGGGAAATGAAACAGGCAGATGAATGCAAGAAGAAAGCCATCCTGAAGCTTGTGAGTACTTCAGTAAATGTTATAATACCTAACCGTGTTAGCATCTTTGGCATCATTTATTCAAGGTTATTGTTACAGCTGGAAGGCTTAGACATATGTGTTGCGCAGCACAGACTAACTGTTCACAAAATACACTGGCGCAATGGAGGATCACTTAGAACACTACTAGGTAATTTTCCTCTGGGGTTTGATGAGATCTAGAAAAGAGCTATTGCCATGCAGGAGCAAGTCTGTGCCCTTCTAACCTAGTTCCCTGTCTCCAGAGGCAAGTGGAGAAACCCATGGAAGTCCCATCTGGAGTAATTTGAGCAGATGGGGGATTAAGAGAGGAACATAGGATTGGGAGTGACCTCTTTGGCTATCAGGTCCAGTCGCTTGTATTCAGTGGCGACCATTTATCCGAGGGGTCCATTAGCACATCCATTCTGGCTCCTCTCACAACAGACACAAAGCACAGGATTAAAAAAAGGCACACTATACCACAGATTTTAGAAAGGGAGGTGAGGGAGGAGCCACAGGTGCTTCACTTCCAGCCTTCCATGCCACATTGGAGGAACATTGCAGGAACAACATCCAGGGCCTTTTTTAAGTCTCCAAATCGGGTGTGAACTGTTAGCTCTTGGCTCCCTTTCCCTTCCTCTCTATGCTCAGTGGCACTTGCACTGCCTTCCTCCCTCACCCTCTCTACTTGGGCTTCTGGGCTTAGGAAGAGGAGACCTGTCCACTGCTGCTGCTGTCTTGGAGCTCCTGCCCAGCTGCAGCTGGAAGTGGCCATGAAGAGAACTGGGCTTAGCCAGGGACAGTGGCAGTGGCAAGACAATTCCCCTGCCCTGTGCCTGCTTCCAGGCTGATGGGGAACACGTAGGTGGACTGTGTAGGGAGGGGAAACTTTCCTGTCTGCAGCTTAACCCAGCTTCCCACACAGTCTGGAGTGAGGCAGGAACAGCTCTGGAGTTCTCCATGGCCCTGGGTCAGCTGGGGGAAACAGCAGCAGCAGGTAGGGAAGGGGGCATTTGGAGGAGAGGGGAGGTGCCGCTGAGCATGGAGGAGAAGAGAGGGGTTGCTAAGGATGGGAGCCCATTCTTACCTGCTTCAGGGACTTTAAAAAAAAAAAAGGTCCCTGGCTGCTGTTCCCACAGCGTGGTCTGGGAAGAGGGTGCAACTATGCCACTGCACCCTGGCTGCATCTGCCCCTGACCTCAGGAAGAGAGCAGGACAGGTAAGGGTGTCACCAATGCCTAGATCAGTTAGATGACTACCCTCCCCACACCACCCAGTGGTCTGACCTGGATCAAAATGCCTTCCTGACCCCAACTCTGGTGATCAGTTTGACCCTGAGCACAAGCAGGACCCACCAGCCAGGGCCCTGAGAGAGTCTTGGTACTGATTAGGAGCACAAGCCTACCTACAGCAGTCTAATAAAAAATATACTCATAATAGAAACCCATGAAATATCTGGTCCCAGCTTGGTTAAGGGAAGAGGCAGTTTGTGCAGGCAGTGTTAACAAGTACTGTCTGATAAACCTGCAGTCTGGTTACATTCACATTCTTGTCCTCAGTGGCAGTTGTTGGATTCTGCAAGTGCCTGATGTTGGGTTTGGGAGCCCTGTTTTAGGCTCTTATTTTAGAAGATTTTGACCCCAAAGATTTTTATTACTAAACATGGCGGCAGCAGCAGCAGGGTGGCCTGTGAAGCTGTCAGATAAATGGAGCTACTTAGTTTACCAAAGCTGCAGAGGTGGAAAATATTTAGATAAACGAATGTTAGCATTTGAGGAAAACTGTCATTCACCTTGAGGTTATAGGTCGACTTGGTTCATTTGCACTTACTGCATACAGTTAGCATCTACAGAAAATGGGTCAGCTCTTATTCCAGCTACTAGGTGCTTAAATGCAATCCCATTCCACCCTGTGCAAGTCTCAGAAAACCTATTAAGATGTCTATTTGTGTAAAGCATGAGAATCATGGCTCTAAGGCAAAGCTGCAAGAAAGGAGCAGGGAGGAAGAAGACAACAACCCAACCACTTTTTGTATTAATAGTTTTTTAGGTAGTGAGGAATAGGGTTTAAATGGCTTAAATGGCCAATAGATTAAACAAAGTTTAGCCCAGTGGGTTTGGAAACTAAATTGTGTAGTGAACATGAAAGCGTGCATGCATGTGTTTATCAAGCCAGTTTTATATTGTGGTTTGAAGCTATACAGCATATGAGTAGCTGAAGGAAATTATGGGTAAGTAATCAATATTGCAAATGCATCTATTTGTCATTAAGCACCAGAGATTTTGTCTTCTCTTACAGACCAGTGATGTGGAAACAAGTGTAAAGCATGAAATAGCAAATGATGAGCTTCCCCTAAATGGAAAGTTTGCATCTGCTGATGCTAATGCCCAAGACACGTCTCCTAATGAACTGGAGCGCTTTATGGAGCCAATGGGAAAAGTTCACTCTCTAATTCTGGACTTTACACCAGTGAACTTTGTGGATTCAGTTGGAGCAAAAACATTAAAATCGGTACAAAGCATCTTTTATGTTCCCTTTCCTCCAAAGTACATTTAATGTTTATGTAGGACAGTAAGAAGGCAGGTAGTGTAGGAGGTAGGTGCATAGGAGGTAGATGCTAATTCAGATTCAAATGGAAACAATCTCATGTCCAACCTGAAATGTTACTAACGTTAATGTGCACTTTCGATAACTGCTTGCAGCTACTGGGTAACTTGTCACATTCAACTCTCAAATTAATGAAGTAAAAACTGGGGCAATGGAGGCATTATGTAAGAGCCATTGTTAAAGGGAAAAGACTGAAGTAATTGAATGCTTCCTTAAAACATTTTGTAGTTTTCTTTAGGTCAACGTGATTGTGACATCTTCTGAGATGCTACTACAAACTAAACCTGGATTTTATACTGTTGCAGGTTATAAAAGAATACGAAGAAATTGGGGTTGGTGTGTACATATCTGGCTGCAGTGGTAAGTTGTGGAGTTTTGTGAGGATTCATCTGCAGCCTTTATCTATGCATCTATGGGATTTGTACTGTCACCTGTCACAGCAGTCTCTGAGCACTTTCAACATAAAATACTGTGTGAGAAGAATTGATTCCTAGTCTGTGAGAGACTTCCCTGTTACTAGACCAGTGCCAAGCCCAAGTTCTCCTAGGTTTTGACCCTCCTGCTGTTGACATGAATTTTGCAGAGTCAAGCCCTGAGTAGTCTGATCTGAAATCAGTGGTACGTACAGCTCTTGGGTTTCAAGTTAGGGTCCCTTTCCCTTTGTAGTCATCCCACAAAGTTCACCTGGCCTAAGTGAGAGGAGGATGAGGCTTAAAATTTCTAATTTCTGACGTTTGGGAAGCTTAACATTTTTCCACTGAGAATTGTTGTAAGTGTTGTATGGTAGGTTGAGGATTTTAAACTACACAAATGCATCTTCATAACTGTTCAACTGCGTATTTTAGATCTTAGCTTTGTTGGTACTTAGCTTGCACCTTTTGGCTTAAATGCTTTCTGCACAGAATTTGAAGCTGGGAAGTCTACAAGCTTCCTCCTGCTTAATCAACCTCAACAAAAACTATAGAAGATGAGATACACGTATGTTGATTTCAGTGTCCTTGTTTTGCAGGGCCTGTTGTTGATGAACTGACAAGACTTAAGTTCTTTGACAAATCCATCACCAGAGACTTGTTGTTTCACAGTGTCCATGATGCTGTTCTCACATGCCAACTGAAAGCTGTATCTGTTTCGCAGGCTGCCTTAAACCACTGAGTTACACCCAGATAACTGTGTTCTCAGAATTGTGCAGACAGAGACTCTCTTCCAACATTTCATTTGCACATTTTAAACAGACCCTGAGGCTTTTTACATCTACTGGTATATTCTGTGGGAGGGAGTGGGAATTGTTTGTGCAGGAATAACGAATGAGGACTTGGAAACCTTCAAACTTTTCAACTGTACTCTTTCCAGGTAGGACCTGAACCAACAGGGAAACATTTAATTACACAAGGCTGAAAACTGGTGTGTTTTTCTGTGGTCAGTGTTAGAGAATCAGTGTAGGGGAGTGCAGTTTAACACTTAGAAATATGGCAAGCACTATTGCGCCTAGTTAGGTGTGGACAAAACCAGAAGATGTGTGGAGTGCAGCGTGAACAAGTTGACATTCCAACGGCCTCATGATGAAATATGCACTTTAATTCACTGCTTCTAGTTAAGTGAGATCTTGCAGAAAACAAATGTTCTGCATTGCCAAAGTAATACACTGTACCAGTGTCTTCAAAGGATGTTCTTAACTCACTGTAAAACACTGATGCCAATATCTATGTCTAGCAGGTGCTTATGTAAAGTGAAGCCAGTTTGCTGACTGCATTAGTGACTTTTCATGCTAGTGGCATAGCTGCTCCTTTTTTTAACCTGGATGGTACAAACAGTGGTCCTGTTTTTATATCTGAATTGTCTCAAAATGCCCAACCTCCTCAGTCTCTCTTGCCCTATTTTCAGTTGCATTTCAAATCAAAATCCCGTTGTTTAAGTGGAATGGACTACATTTTCATAGTCAGGATAGCATGGCTACTACTAGCCAATACATTCAAGTCACACGTACACTGTGAAACTCAGGGGGGTGATGATTCTAACCCCCTAGAGCAGGGGTGGGTAAAATGCATCCTGCGGGCCAGATGCAGCCCACCAGGCCATTTTATCCGTCCCATGAGGCCCCTAAAAAATTTAGGAAATTAATATTTATCTGCTCCTGGCTGCCTCTCATGTGGCCCTCGATGGCTTGCCAAAATTCATTAAGCGGCCCATCACCCAAAATAATTGCCTGCCCCTGCCCTAGAAGCTGGCAACCTATGATCCCCCAGAGCTATTGGGTCCATCCTGTGGATATGGGGATGGCTGTGGGCACTCTCCTTATCACAGCAGGAAGATGCACCATCTGGAGGCAGGTCCTAGTACCCACTTTTCTTTGACCTGAGGTGAGCCATTCTGGGCCAGAGCCAGAAAAGGTTGCCAGCCCCACTGCCCTATAGCAAAGATTTGAGGTTTAATGGGCTATGACCAGGCTTGTTTAAAAACATCTTAAATGGGAACACATGGACCCTGTCCAAGCCGTTTAAAGCAGGGGTGTCAAACATGGATCCTGCAGACTGGATCCAGCCTGTGGGTCTTAGACTGACCCTGTACACTGCATGAGGCACAGGGAGTCACCTATGCTGGACCAGCTCTGTGCACTGGCTCTGAAGCCAGTCCATATAAGGCCAGCCTGGCAGTTCATCACAGGCAGTGCAGGCTCCATGCTGGTCCCCCGTGCCACTTGCAGCGCACACAGCAAGCCTAGTTCCCCACACCACATGCAGCATGCACCCACCCCAGGGCTTGTTGTGCACATGGGGCCAGCATAGGGTGCAAGCTGCATGCAATGTGTGGGCTGGGGCCAGCACTGCAGTTGACATCGGGTCTGGGACATGGGCTACATGTGGCCTTCGCACCAGACCAGCCCTCTGTGCTGGCTCCAGTGCTCGTGGACAGTCTGGGGCCTGGTCAGGGTGGGTCTGGTGGGGACCCTGCCTGCCGAACACACATCAAACCAACTCCCTGCACTACTCACAGCACCAGGTCCAGCCCATGCACTGCATACAGTACATGCCCCCTGTCAAGTGCTTTGCAAAATAGTGTTAGAGAAGCCTCAGCTGCAGCTGATCTGTTTTTAAATGAACAGTTTAGATTTAAAAATTCCTCTCTAGCTGGTAGTGCTGCTTTGGTACCAGGAAGGGAAACACCCCATCCTTTGTCATGTGCTCTTCCACCTGAGCCAAATAAAGATTATGAACATAGTGGAGTAAAATGCTGTTTTGATCCAGCTGATGCGATTTCAGGGCTGGACAGGCCTGGCTGCCTCTATCATTTGTGCGGGGCTCAGAACAGAAACAGTGCAAGGAGAATCAGGTTTCAGCATTCAGTGATCTTCCTTTTAGCTTCATCACAGCAGAGGCCGTGGGCAGTAGGGGAATTCAAATGGCTCTGTTCTGCAGAAGTAGGTCAGGATTTAGTTTCTTTCAATCCGCACGGATCAGAGCTTGCAGTGCGTGAGCCATGTTGCACGTAGCAAGGGGCCAAGAAATAAGTTTTCCTTTCCACTCACCTACCTGACAGCAATGAGAGGCAAAATTTGTATCAGGAACGAAACCTTTGGCTAGAATGTAAAGGTTTAATTTAATGAGATTGCAACTTTTTTATTTTAAGTGACTTCTGAAAAAAATAATTTTGTAAGGTTAATTTGTTGAACAATCCTTTATATCTACATATAGTATATTTTTCTACTTCTAGCTTGTTGAAGCTTCAGTTTTTATCTGTACAATTCCTTCAGTCACAATAGTCTCTGTCAACAGCCAAAATAAAGTGGTTCAAACAACGTAAGTCCTGGAATACTGTTTAAGTTGGGGAGAGAGAGGGGTGGCTCTGTATATGTATCTGCTAAGGGCAAGGATACAAATCCTGTTAAGTCTCTAAGGCCCAAAGTGCTACTTCTGTTCTTTTTATGCACCCAAGTCAGCAAGCAGCCACCTCCTATTCAACCCCCACCAAACATCCTGAAGGTGATGTGGGCATCTCAGTTTCTTAAGTTTCATGTAGGTGCTTTCTGGAGTCTGAAAGATCTGTACAATCCCCTCTGTGCAGCCTTGTTCTGAGCTTGCTCAGGAGTAAACCAAAGCAGCCACCAAGACATTTGAAGGCTGCTGTCACCCTCTTGTGCTCCTGCTGCTCTTTGGAGAGGGCAAAAAGTGCACAAATCCCAAGTGCGTGAGCAAGAAAGGAGCCTGAGCAGTGACTGACACCAAAACGGGAGGGTGTTAAAGGGACAGTGGCAGACACCTTTTACCCCAGTAGTCTAGTAGTTATGGCTCTTAGCCAGGCAAAACACATAACAAGCCAGCGAGCAAGGATGAGAACCAAGGGCTTTTCATTTCCTAGGTGCATGTCCAAAGTTGATAGGCTACAGCGTAGGTTTGTCTGTGGCACGTTCCTGTATTTGGCATCACATAGTCATTTGGATACAGCAGATGAGTAGCAGGGACCAGAACTCGCTCCTCCTCACCCAGGGCCTCGGCCACTTAGCTGAGCCACAGAATCAGCCTCCCTCTTTTGGGTTGCAATAGCCCAGCTTTGGGTTGCAAGGTGGCCTTATCCATCTCTGGCCTATTGCCTAGTGAGTAGAGCACTGCTGATATGTGCCTAGAAGCTCAGACTCCCACTTTCTGGCCAAGCGTCCTAATCACTAGGCTATTGGGCTAAAAGATTGAAATTGTCCTAGTTCTCCTCTGGTACATGTTAGTGTCCCCATGCTAAATGTATGGTAGGGTGCGAAAACTGCTAATAGCACACTTCCCTGCTTTGGCTACTTGAGCAGCCTACAGTTGTACCTGCTGGAGGGGTGCTACATAATGCAGCAGTGGTCCTAGTCACATGAGCATAGACATTTGTTTCCCAGGGGACAAGATTGTTTTCCTTTGTGCCACTGCTGCTTGTCCCCAGGGAATGCCCGTGTCACATGTGCCTTGCAGCAGATTACCCCAAGTGGGGTATGGTAGCAACTGTGCTGGCCCCAGCAGCCTGTCCTGGGGGTCTCCTGGGGCAGGAAGCCTGGCTGGCAGCTGGAGTGTGACTGGCCAGCCAGGCTCCAGACTTGGGTGGCATGTGCTGCCACCACGTGTGCTGCCCAGCTTTTTGTGGTGTGGGATGTTTTTGACACAGATTTCCTGGGGGTCAAACCCCCTAACCCCCCCCTCATCCTGCTAGCAGCATGTGTGATGTGTAGTGCAGCAGATGGGTCTGCAGTGCCACATATCACATGTTTGCACTCATCTGGACACACTGATATTGGAAGAGAGTTACACATGCAAATCTGTAGGCTTCCTGCTGCCTTCCAGAATATGCGGCTGCAGTGTCTGCATGAAATGCAGTACAACTGGATGTGGGGTCGACACAGCACCCAAGGTGAGCAAGTTGGAGGTGTCTTGGGGGGACTCAGACCAAAGGTTTTTTAGCAGTGTGTTGAAGAGAATCACCACAAAGGGCCCAGCTGTGAGCCTCTACCCACAGATGCTGCCTCAAAAAAAATCAGATTCTCCAATCACTTTTGAAGCTCTTGTTGTATAACAGTGCACAGGAGCTTGGGACACTTGAGTAGAAAAGGCCTCCCAGGCTATCAACTTCAGGCCCCTGAATTAGCAAGCATCCATTTACCCATAGCTTCCTTAAAAAAAAACAAACAAACAAACAAAAAAACCCACAAGGCGATGTCCCCCCTGAGATTGGCCGCTGCCATTGCCAGCTTCTGTGGGCAGTCGCTGTTCACCACCCCCAACCCCCTGCTGCCGCTGCCACCAGCTTCTATGGGCTGTCACCGAACGCTGCTCGCAACCTTCCCCCCCCACCAACACTGGTTCTGCGAGTGGTCACCATTCACCTCCCCGACGCTGCTGCCCACAAATTGTGCCCCCCCCGCCTCAGGAGGCACCAGTCATTCATGACCTCCACTACCCCAACCCCATGCACATGGAGCTGCAGCTGCATTGCGGGTTTGCTCCCCAGCTGCTCAGACAGTTGCACACACACTTACACCAAGCATTTTGTTCTATTTCCAACCAAATCTCACCCCACGAGGATTTCACTCGTTCACACTGTGGTAACTATTGCTTTGTCGGTGCTTGCCAGCTGACTCGGCCCCTGTTCTCTGCCAACCTGGACAAAGCTACAGTTTCACAAAGCATCGCTTGATGTCAGACTCTGCTCCAGGAGTGATGTTCTCCTCCATGACGTCTGCCTGCAGCACAGACGGGATGACTAACCCACACCATCAGGGCTTATACTCTGCTGCTCCTGTTTTGTCAGCGCTGTCTCCCTTCCTGGCTGAATCTTTTTAATCTCAGCAAAGACCTCACTAACTCTGGGTCATGCCCTGATTGAGACAGGTCTGCCTAAACGAACCCCAGCAGGACTGTATCCAGTCCCTTCTTAAAACCTCTGAGCCTGCTGCCATGCCTTGCTACCCTTAACTTCAGCGCAATCTGCCTAAATCAAACACAACTCACCTCTGCTGCAAATAAAGCTCCTTGCTTCTTGGTCTTTTACCAGCGAAGACTTGGTCGCTGTCCGCTTTGTAACCATGCATCAGGAACACAGGACTACAAGGGGCATCCTGAGCTGCTAAAGCCAGTTGCCTGCACTCACAGGCAGCCATTTCCCAAGGTTTCCCCCGGACCAGACTAGTCTTCCAGCCCCTTGCACAAATCCCAAACTCCAAAACATCAAGCACACCCCAAAACGCAGCACAGGCAAAAGTAGAAGTGCTGCTGACACTGCCAATGACCAGGACTCCT